GCTGATGATAAAAAATCCTGCATTACCTTAAGGACCCCAAACTATCGGAATTATGGTCTATTCCTTATTATGGGTAACCTAAACCCTAAGCCCTATATAAACCCAAAGCCCCAAACCCTAAACCCTAAGCCCTAAACCCAAAGCCCCAAACCCTAAACCCTAAACCCTTCAGCCCTAAACCCTAAACCCTATTCCTTATTTGGGTAACGCAGGATGAATCTCATCTACCACACGATTCCCATTCATGGCTTCGTGAGACAGGTTTGGGCTTGCGGATGTCGGATCGAAGGTTCAGGGTTTTGGGTTTAGGGTTCAGGGCTTTGGCTTTAGGCTTTAGGCTTTAGGCTTTAGACTTTAGGCTTTAGGCTTTAGGCTTTAGGGTTTAGGGCTTAAGGATTTAGGGTGTAGGGTTTAGGGGCTTAGGGGTTTAGGGTTTAGGGTTTAGGGTTTAGGGTTTAGGGTTTAGGGGTTTAAGGGTTTAGGGTTCGGGGTCCTAGGGAAGAAGGATCGGGCCATAACACCGCAGATCACCAGAACAAAACGAGTTTTAGGGTTTAGGGTTTAGAGTTTTGGGTTCAGGATTTAGGGTTTAGGGCTTAAGGATTCAGGGCTTTGGGTTTAGGGCATCTACAACCCCCCAAGAAACTTAACACACTCGAATTCAGGGGACCCTCACCGGGGCGGCGCCTCCTCAATGACGGCCTTTGCCTCCTCGTTCGAGAAGGTCTCGATGTTGTCCTCAAGGCTCAGGGCGCCCCAAATTAACCGAAACTGCAGGTGGGGAGTTTAGGGTATATAGGGCTTCTAGAAGGCTTCTATAACGTATATAGACCTTCTATGAGGCTCCTATAACGGTAACTACCCACCTGAAAATGTCCTAGACCAAAGCTGCAAAGGTTGCTGAAACAAAAATAAACCTGTCAAACATGCTTTGGGACTTTGGATTCATAGTTCACTCGGTTTCTAGGTTGCGGGTTTGTGGGTGTTTCGAAGGCTTGGGTGCAGCTAGGCTCTGGATTTACGCTTCAGGGGCCCTGCAGCGAAAACCCCAAAGCCTAAGAGTTTGGGGTATATTAGGCTATCCCTAAGGGTCCAACGGACCCAATAATAAGGTACTTTCGTTGCGGAGGGTAGTTATCTCGGTTTATATTCGGGAAAGTATATGGTTATTAGGTACTTAGACCCTTGGGGTATAAGTATAACGAGGAACCCCCAAAACCCTATTCTAATTATTAAGGCCCCTACATTACGACCCAAACTCTAAACGATCCCACAGAACCCGTGAAGACATCTGATAAAGGGGACCTCTGATTCAGGAAATTTAGGGGCCTCAATAATTACCAATATTATTTTGGGGGGTTGCTTCTTCGAATTTCTTAGTCTTTTAAAAACCTCAAAACCCTATTGAAATTATTAAGGCCCCTAAACCCTAAACCCTTATAGTAGCCCTCATAGAACCCTTTACAGTGTTTAAAGCAACCCACCAAACCCTATTCTAATCATTAAGGCCCCTACGTTACACGATGGTTTGTGCGTCCTGCAAGCGCGCCAGCCCCTAAACCCTAAACCCTAAACCATAAACCGTCCTGCAAGCGCGCCAGCTCCTTCATGGTCTTCTCGGGCAGCACATCCGGCCGGATGGAGAGAACCTGCCCGAGTTTCACGAAGGTCGGCCCAAGCTCCTGCGAGGAGCACCAGGATTGGCTTAGGGTTTAGGGTTTAGGGTTTAGGGCTTAGGGTTTAGGGTTTAGGGTTTAGGGTTTAGGGTTTAGGGTTTAGGGCTTAGGGTTTAGGGCTTAGGGCTTTGGGTTTAGCCCCAGCTCCTGGAAAGAGCACCCCGAACCCCTAAACCCCAAGACGACTCCTGCAGGTTGTTCACGGCCTGCCTCGCCAAGTCCTGCTCGTCCTCCCACCTCGACTGGCTCTGCCCTCTCCCAGAAACTCTTTGGTTCTCTTTACCCCTGGACCCTGAACCTTAAACCCTAAACCTTAGACCCTAAACTCTAAACCCTAAACCTTAAACCCTACACCTTGAACCCTAAACTTTAGACCCTAAACTCTAAACCCTAAACCTTAAACCCTAAACCTTAAACCCTAAACTTTAGACCCTGAACCCTAAACCCTGAATCCTTAAGCCCGAAACCTTAAACCCTAAACCTTAGACCCTAAACCCTAAACCCTGAATCTTTAAGCCCCAAACCTTGACAATCCGACCCTCAGTGCCCTGAGCCTCCCCGACAGGAAAAAATCCTAACACCACAACGCCAGAAGTTCGGAAGATGAGGGTTTAGGGTTTAGGGTTTAGGGGTTTAGGGGTTTAGAAGTTCAAAGTTTAGGGTTTAGGCGTTTAGGCGTTTAGGCGTTTAGGGTTTAGGGTTTGAGGTTTAGGTGCTTAGGGGTATAGGGGTTTAGGGGTCACGGGTTTAGGGTTTAGGGGTTTAGGTGTTTAGGGGTTTAGGGTTTAGGGGTTTAGGGGTTTAGGGTTTAGGGTTCAGGGGTTTTGGGGTTCAGGGCTTAGGGGTTTAGGGTTTAGGGTTTTGGGTTTAGAGGTTTAGGGGTTTAGGGTTTAGGGTTCAGGGGTTTAGGGGTTCAGGGCTTAGGGTTTAGGGTTCAAGGGTTTAGGGGTTTAGGGGTTTAGGGCTTAGGGTTCCAGGGTTAGGGGTTTAGGGCTTAGGGCTCAGGGTTTAAGGGTCTAGGGTTTAGGGTTC